ATATATATATATATATATATATATATATATATATATAAATTCGTTTTCTGAGTAGAACGTATTTCGTAGAGCGATCGACTCAATTGATTGAGGAGCATCAGCTATAACTTCACAGAAGTTTAGGTTTCACGAGTAATTATCGTTTTATTGCTACAGAACTGTTTCGTATGGTACAAGGACCACGCTCATCAGGCAATTTTGACGACTGAACTGTTGGAATTGGAAGGCTGGCAGCTAAATGCGAAAATTTAAATGATTGCTATGGTACATGCGTAACATTCAGGTTATATGAAACTGTTGAAAGGGTTGCTAGGTAACAAAAACATTATAAAAGAGGGATTATCTGTCGTTATAAAAAATGTGATATAAGCGGGTTTTAAGCTACGTTACTCTAAAGTTTCCAAGTACATATCGGTTTCTGTGGGGACATGAACTTGCTAATTCGTTTCTTCTATTGAGGTTACACAGTTCTTTATTACAGATAATTATCAACTTTTCACTTAGGCAAAGCCTACATTTTTTGCTAATGTTGCTGTAGGGTTTACATTTCTTAAGAATTTTCCATTTAATCAGAAACGGTTTCTTTTCGTTTTGTAAGTTCCAAACAAATTTGGAGAGTTCTGTTTCATTTCTTCTTTTCGAGTGTCGAAAGGATGTTTTGTGGTTCCTGTAACGTTTCTTAAAGTTTGTGGCTAGTCCAACGTAGGTTTCAGCTGCTGTCTCAGTAGTAACTGTGGCTTGATAGATGACGTTAGTTTGAAGGCATTTTCCTTCTAATGGGCTATCAGACTTTTTTCTACAATTGCAGGTGTCGGGTTGCGGTGTTGGGGCATTTGCATTGGAAAGAACGTGTTTGTTGTGTGACGATATGATGGAATTCATATTTGGCATACATGAGTAGCTTAGCTTGAGAGTGTGCCTGTTGAAAATCTTGTAGAGTGGATGTTTTTTTTTCTGGAAGCATTTATCGACGATGCGGAGGAACTTTCTACCAAGGTTGATTTTAACTTGCGAATCGAAAGGAGGATTGTACCATGTAATGTCCCTTTTTCTCTTTCTTTTGGTTCTCGGAGTGGGCTCAGGGTTGTATGTTAGTTTGTGATCATATCCACTTTCTTTAAATGCTCGCTGGTAAGGAGCAATTGATTCGTCAAAAACTTCTTTGCTGGATGAGATGTTAGTTAGCCTTTTGTTGATGTTGAATGGTATGTTTTTTAGTAATGCCGGGGGGTGGTTGCTCTGTTGGTGGACGTAAGAGAATTTGTTGTTGGGTTTCATGTATGGCTTGTAACTTCCGTCTGTAAGGTCGAAGGTTACATCAAGAAAGTGAAGGATTTTTTTGTTGGCATCGATTGAAATATTTAGGCCCTTTGATTTAAATACATTGCAGACTTATTTCTTGGTTTTTTCAATTTCTTTCGGAGTGGCTTTGCAAACCGCAAGACCATCGTCGCGGTACAGTCCAACTTAATCTTTGAATTTGGATGCGATCAATGAGAGCATGTACATTCCTATCAATTCGCACGTTTCTGCAAAGTCGTATGACCCCATTCTAACATCAAACATGTCGTTTGTGTTCTTCTTGGCCCAGGGAGCGTTTTGATGGTAAAGGAGAGATTTTTTTTGCGTGGATGATGATGTGGCGGTCAGGTGGAGTGATAGTGGTGAATTTGGAAGAATAATCTTATACATTCAGGAGCAGGTCTTCAGATATGGATGGATAGAAGTCGCACACGTCAAAGGTGATAAATGCGTGTTTTTCCTTTTCTGGGATTGCCTTGAACCATTCTGTGGTGTTGTTAGTGCTTTTCCACAGGTTCACCTTGGTTGCTTGGATGACTTCTTTGTTTATGCGGTCGAGGATGTTTTTGCTGATGACACCAATTTCAGATTTGCTTGGATTAATGAGTCTGCAGGTCGGGTTGTTAATGAAATCTGGTTTGTGGTCTTTAAATGTAATGAAGGAGTCCCTTGATGCTGAGACTTCAATTCGGTCCGCTAGTTCGATTTTTTCTGTGATCTTCTTGTCCTCTAGAGTTATAATGTCCGGTACGTTCGGGTTTGTCTTCTTTTAGGTCTTCGTAACGTTTTTGTTTACAAGTGTCATATAGTCTTCGGGTGCAGTCTTCTAATAGTTTGTCGTTTTGTCTGCTTTCACAAAAATGTTGCGTTCTCCCTGTATTTCTTTTACGTCTTTATTGAGCTTTTTCTGAAGGTCATTAGAGTAAGTATTGGTCTTGAATTCAACTCGCTGAATCATTTCAAGCATACAGTCCTCAAACTCATTCAGTTCCGCTACATGAGGTGGTGACCGTTTCGATTTAAATCCGTAAGATTCTTTGGATGTGTCGTTGCAGTTCTTGTTCAGAAAAAAGAAAGCTTTCCAGCGCATACGTTGAATTAGGAATTCTGTTTTCGCGATTAGTACCTGAAGGCACACATTTCTGGATGCCAGCGGGATGTTTTTTGTAGAATACTCGAAGCCTTCACTTGGAAATTCATTCTTGAAAGCGTTCAACTGCAGAAGAGGGGCAATGCAAATTCGTTATTTGAGTAGAACGTATTTCGTAGAGCGCTCGACTCAATTGATTGAGGAGCATCAGCTATAACTTCACAGAAGATCAAGTTTCACGAGTAATTATCGTTTTATTGCTACAGAACTGTTTCGTATGGTACAAGGACCACGCTCATCAGGCAATTTTGACGACTGAACTGTTGGAATTGGAAGGCTGGCAGCTAAATGCGAAAATTTAAATGGTTGCTATGATAGATGCGTTACATTCAGGTTATATGAAACTGTTGGAGGGGTTGCTAGGTAACAAAAACATTATATAAGAGAGATTATCTGTCGTTAAAACAAAATGTGATATAAGCGGGTTTTAAGCTACCTTACTCTAAAGTTTCCAAGTACATATCGGTTTCTGTGTGTATACAGAAACAGATATGTACTTGGAAACTATATATGAAAGGATATATTCAATTTAAACCACATTGATAAATCCAAATCAAAGGATAAGATAAATGAAATAGAAGAATTGTACAAATATTATCATTACAAATATTGGTGCTACCAAAAGGCGTATAAATATTTTAAACAACTAAATTTGGTTGTCAATATGTCATCAACAGGTTTGATCGTACTTTGAACAGTTGTTGGTGGAGTTATGTTAACCCCTGCTATATTAGGAGCTATGCTAGGAGCTGGATTATTGGTTAAAACATTATCAGAAACCAAAGATTACAAACGTAAAATAGAAATGAGTAAATATGCCTTTAAAACAGAACAAAAAGAATTACTAGATCTCCGTACAGCTTTAAGAGGAGGTTAATTTGATAAAATGTACTTATAAGAGAGATGAATCTAATTGATGACACAATAGTGGATTTTGCTCCTCTGGTCACGCGATTTGAAAAAACAATACAATAAGACATTTTTAACCGCATAATATTCTTTCACACCGTTATGACGACATCATAATGGGATTTTATGGCAAGGCAAGGTATTGTTTAGATAATGGCTTGCAGGCTAAGGCGGCAGGTTTCGAGCATATCTTATTTCCAGTCAATCAGAATTTAGGGCGTTCCGGACTATATCGTTCTTAAGCTCGCTTTTCCATGCGCTCGCCCCTTTCGATCGCTCACGATCACGTTGTTCACATCGCTTGTTTGAACCAATTTTCAGCATTTTCCACCACCTCCCCTTCCGCCTGCCTGCGAATTAATTGCTAGCTTGTTACTCTTTCTTGCCTTAGTGGGTGGCAGGTTTTCCCCCACCTTTTAATTTGCTGAAGAGATATTAGTTTATTATATATTGGCAGATCTTGAAAATAAAGTTCGTCACCTTTGGTGGCCAAATTTTCTCCAACCTAAACCGAGTCTGTGTTTACCTCCTCAGTAAACAAGTGCGCCGCCACGCAGAGCACTTGGTCACGCAAAGTTTTCAGCGTCCTTCTTATCGTGAAAATGTCTTGATATAAGATATTATTATATTAGACAATATTTCTTTAAATAATTTTCGGGTCCGTCTTCAAATGGTCATTACCAAATTCAGAGCTCATCAGCGGCCCGTCAAAAGGCTCAAGATAAGCTCGAAAAACTGGATTTGCTGATTTGAGTTGCGGCTGATGAAAACCCATGAGTTGGGGGTCTTAAAGCAACTTACAACTTACCCCCAACTCTCATACTACTAACCTTCCCCTCTCAACTGTGTTTTATCATTCATTTCCCATTATTGATTTCTGTGTTTTTCCCCTTACTTTTTTGTCTTTTTCTGTATAGAAAAATTCGCAGAGTCATCAGCTTTAATCCCTCCTTTTATACTCTATTCAACATTACTAACAATAAAAAACTCTTGCTCTTATGAAGAATATCATTGTGAAAGAAAATCAAGGTGATTGGCTGTTTGAACAGCAATCAACCGCATATCCGTGTGCAAATTCTGATGTCCCCTTTGTGTGGAAAGTTCCACTCAAACCTGAGCCAACAGCCCAACAGATGCCAGCTACAAAAGTTACTATTAAACAGCTCTCGGCAATTACTACAAACCAGCAAGTAAATGTTTCTGGGACATTGTCCTTTGGGGACAAAGAACCAAAACAAGTTATAGTCAAAGCAACACAAACAGCTTCCCGTGTTAAAGAAGACTGTATATTAGAGGACAGCACTGAAACAGTCATATTGCACATTTGGGGCCCTCTCAAATGAAATCAAATGAAAACTGGCAAGTCGTATATGTTTACCAATTTAACTTGAAATACTATCAAGAGTAGTTATGCTTCAGCAAAATCAACCCCGTTGGTGCGTTCCCTTTGCGTTCCGTGTGCGTTCCCTTAATTAATAGGGATAAGGGTCGTGTCAATGACGTCACCCATTGTTATAACCTAGGGGAAAAAATGCGTTCCTCCATACTAATTAAGTACCTAGTCAGTATCGTCTGCATACTAATTCGGTATAGGTTTAAAAACTCGGATATATCAACAAAACATACAAAAAGTAGAACTAAGAAGTCTTTATTTCAATTTAGTATATGTCTTCTTATCTAGCGCTAAAACTCGGATGTATAAGCAAAACACACACACGCATACAGAAATTTGAGTTGAAAAGTCTTTATTTCAATTTAGTTTACTTCTTATTTAGCGCTAGAACTCGGATATATAAACAAAACACACGCACATATGCACAAAATGGAGTTGAAAACTGTCTATTTCAAATCTGTCTGAACCGTTTTCTCCTATCTAGTACAGTCTCAGCGTTTCACGCACCGTTAGTAAATTATGGGAGTTCACAAGCCCAAAGTTGAATACAAATTAGCTCTACAGGAAAGACCCAAGGGAGCACCTTGACGTACTATTATATAAACAATTTTAAATAACTTAACAAGGATCAATTAAAACACGCGACTAATAATTGCTAGCAATAAAACCACAAGAGAGACACCGTTTTAATTTTTATTAGAAAACAAAGACACAAAGGGTCAAATACACAGCGATTTGTAAGGAATGGAAATTAATTAATCTTCATCTTCTTCGCCCATGGAGTACTTGTAAGGTTTAAATTTCTTATGCCGACGTTTCCTCAGCTGTTTGGCATGAACTTTATCATCACCCAAATAATTTACAAATTGAATCCGACGCCTTTTGCGCTTCGGGCCTTGTTGTGATGGGGTTTCTACTGTGGGAGGAGGGGTCAGGAAAGCAGGATTTAAGGGTGGTGGAGGGGTGAGGCTTTCTTTGTCAGGTATTTGAGAGAGAGCGGCTTGTGTTAATTCAGGTGTTACATTAAAGGGGTTGAGGGGAGTGGAGAATGCTGTCGTTGCTGTCGAAGAATCTTGTGTCCTTGGTGTTAAGTCTAGAACAGTGCTGATTATTTCTTCCGGTCGTGTGTTTGTATTTAATTGTTCTTTAAAAGCCAGGTATCTGTTTTGCAACTGAAAGTATCGTTTAGCTTTTTCATCGTCCCGAAGATCGTTTCGAGAAAGCACGTCATCCATGTTGCCTTGTATTTCTTGCATAGCTGGAAGAAGCGGGACAGGCGAAAGAGTTCGCTGCTTCAGATATTTTAGAAGCTCTTGAGGAATAGTTTCTTGAAACCCTGCTTGGTTAAAGCCTTCTTCACTGGGCAGGACGTTTGTTCGCAACCGACAATTATCTTGGGTAGTAGTTTTCAGATCAATCAGAAGATAACCAAAAGGTCTTTTTACAGCCTCTTTGTACTGATTTAAGAAGAAATCCGTCTGCCTGGGATACATTTGCTTCGCCAGAGTCAGGATTTGCAATTTGTCTCGTGGATTCTTGAATAACGCCAGATAATGGCTGTTTAGGCTTATGCTGCGGCTACCTTTCCCCTGATGAAATAGATTCTGCTCGATATAAATCACGCTCAGATTGCGATGATGAAAACCACGAGTAAAGAGGTTCACAATTCGCTTGTCTTTACCGGCGTCAATCATCTGATCATCACACACGATCAAATTCCGTTTGTTCACAGCAAAATAGGAATCCTGCTCCAAAGCCGAACGAATTCCCTTGACGAATTCAATGTTTGGCATGGCGACTAACACTTATGTATACACAGGCTGCCATTGTGAATAACACCAAACGATCCCCTCCGGGGAGGGTAGATGGTCTCTGAAGCTTGTTGCAATAGAGATCGAACCCAGGCCATTTTTCCGGACCCGGTCATTCCGGCAATCATGGAGGTGAAAGGATGCTCGAAGCGAGACCGCTGACATTTCTGTGAAAACATTGGAACTGTTTGAAATGGGGTGAGACCAGCATTGCGGTGTTTAGACATCACGTGCCTTTGCAGACTATCTTTTCTACTAAAGGATTTTTCGCAGACAGAAGGGAACCAACTCATGTCAACTCCGCAAGAGCAAAATGTAGACTGAGAAAGAGGTAGAATGTTGAGCATTTATATAGGTTTTCAGGCCATAAAATTCCATTGTTGTCCTCCCCCAAGACCACCGCCACCACATTTGTATTGTTTTCCCTCTACCACCACCACCACCACATTTGTATTGTTTTCCCTCCACCACCACCACATTTGTATTGTTTTCCTTCCACCACCGCCACCACATTTCTATTGTTTTCCTCCACCACCACCGCCACCACATTTCTATTGTTTTAAACGCACTATTCCCTTCACAAACATCGCCGAGCTAGTTGAGTATGTGTTACTTCCTCATAACAATGAAGTTTCCAAGCCTCGCGCGCTGAATACATTTCTAGATGGACTTGCAGAGTTAGGAATGGATAAAGGTTTAATCAAGAACAAAAGGTTGTTAAGTGATTTAATAGTAAAGGAACAGGGCTACCAAAATGTAGAAAGTATAATAATAATAATAATAATAATAATAATAATAATAATAATAATAATAATAATAATAATAATAATGAGGAGAGTTCATCGGATATTGAAAATCAGGAGGAGGAGGAGGAAACGGCTTCTGAGAATGGCGTTGAAGCGGAAGACACCCAAGAGAACGACAACGACACTGAAAACGACAGTCAGGAAACAGAAAGTAGTAGTCCTGAAACGTCCACCACCGTTCACTCTAAACGTCCCTGTGAAGATTGTGAGAACTCTAATGTGTACTGGACATTGATCATGAAATGTCCTAAATGCTTTTGGCACAATTACTACAAGATTTGTCCTATATGCGATCGCCAGATTCCCGAGGGGAGAAATTACATGAAAGAGGGCTTTCGTCGGTGTCACGATTGTGAAGCAGTTACACACAAAAAACGTGAAGACGTTGGAAACCAATTTCTATTCTCCTTCTAAAGAGGAGAACGAAGAAGAGGATTAATTAATTTCCATTCCTTACAAATCGCTGTGTATTTGATTCTTTTTGTCATTGCTTTTTAATTAAGTTTTTAAAACGGTATCTCGTGTCTGATATTATTGCTAGCAATTATTAGTCGAGTGTTTTAATTGATCCTTGCTAAGTTATTTAAAATTGTTTATATAATAATACGTCAAGGTGCTCCCTCGGGTCTTTCCTGTAGAGCTAATTAGTATTCAACTTTGGGCTTGCGAACTCGCATAATTAACTGACTAACGGTGCGCAAAACGCTGAGACTGTAATAGTTTTTCATTTCCTCGAGATAGATAGGAGAAAACGTCGGACAAAATTGAAATAGAGAGTTTTCAGCTCCCCTTTGTGTATATGTGCGTGAGTTTTGTTTATACCCGAGTTTTAGCGCTAAACGAGAACACGTAAACTAAACTGAAATAAAGACTTTTCAACTCTACTTTGTGTATGTGTTTTGTTTATGTATCTGAGTTTTAGCGCTAAATAAGATATAGGAAGCCGTTCCTGGCGTTGCTAAGTGATCGCTTCTCTTATTCCTGTTTCTCTTTTGATAGACGTTCAAACCGGGCTCAAGTTACTTACCGGGCAAGTCTAGGCAAGCCTACTGTTTCTATTGAATAAGGGAAATGCTCATTAGTAAACCTATACCCAATTAGTATGCGGGAAGGCATGTGAATATAAATGATTTACTTATACCTGTACGTACACCTATACCTATACCGAATTAGTATGCAGGAAGGTATGTGAATATTAATGATTTACCTATACCTATACATATACCTATACACCAACGAGGCTTAATTTCATCCTTCTATGACTACTATCAAGGTTCAAACTTCTTAAGTACAAGTCCACTAACGACTGCTACTGAAACCACAGTAACATTAGAAAAATTAATGGGTCTGCACTTACTCCGCATTCCAGAGCAAGAGATAACTGTTCCAGACTTCAAGTTCAACAGATTAACCTTATTTGGTCTTTGCGGCATTTCTAGTAAACGTTTAACTGATCTGTCTTCATCCTCCACAAAATGTCACCAATGCCCAACCAGTCAGAGGACCACCCATTTAATCCGTGAGAGCTCTATTAGGATATGTGTAGTTCATAACAGTCTCGGTTATCAGCTCATATACCTTAGTTTGACCATATAATAAAATCGATTACACCAAGGAAACAAAATTTTTCTCGGACAAAGCGGCGGGAAAAAGTACTAGATTTCGCAAGCTTTCTACCGACGAAATACAAAAGCTGCCAGAAAATGCCATACCGGCAGCGACCAAAAAAAGCTACAAACTTTGGTTTGAAATTATTTAATGGTACATATCTCCGAAGATTCCTTACAAATTTAAAGAGATTATAATTCCTCCAACGTCGAGCTGACTATGTAAAATCAACAACAACAACAACAAAGTTTACCATTAAGTTTAAGTTTACCTTGCAGGAGTCAGTTTTCAAATCTATTAGAAACTTTTTTTGCGTTTTTGAAGAGCTTTTACACCTCTTACAGATTCGCAAGCCCACAACGGCTTTCCATTGAACAACATCATTACGGGAGATGTCCTCGCTCTCATGATCAGTGATTTTTATTGATTAACGAAGCTGGTTCTTTGTGCAGCTCCGATTCAGTGGAGAAAGGAAACGGCCAAAATGACAAGCAATCAGGTAGACATATCCAAAGTCAAATTCCACAACAGTCACAGTAAGGAAACGCGCAAACAGTTGCTGTCGAGGATAATTTTAGCACAGCGTCCTTGTCACATAACGACCAAAGCTTTTCGCAGTATTCTTACAATTGCAATGTGCAGGTGCAGAATTATTACACTTCTCCTTGACTTTAACTTTGATGTCTTAATTCTTGAAGAAGATTTTAACCCAAAAATTTGTTCAA